TCTCTCTCTCTCTCGCTCACACTGATCTCCTTAACTCTCTCTCTCTCTCTCTCTTTCTCTCTTTCTCTTTTTCTCTGTCTCTGACGAAAAAACAAACAAACCGTGTTTCTTTTGAGAAGGAGTTCCAAATCTAGAGGCATGGGAAGAATTATACTCTTTTCCGTCTAAATTATTTACATTGTTTGACCTGATGTATAGTGGGTAATCTCACAAAATTCTCACCTGCAGATCTCAAATGTCTTTAATAATTTAATGGTGTGTCATAATATGATCCAACGAGATCTTGAAGACAGGCTTCACATGTTGCGCTTGTGCTTTTGCATTTATAGCAGAAAACAGCAATTTTGTAAATTACTTTTAACCAAAAAATATAGCCCTAGGCCTATCAATAAAAATGTAATCTAGATCTATATCCTTCCGGGGACTAAATTTCTCTTTTCATACCAACAGCGCGAGTCTGTTTTGGAAGCGCTGCAGTTTGAAATAATAATTACCAGAGAAAATCACATTAGATTTAATATATCTAGTAAAATCTGCGTTAAAGAAATGTTGAGATGAGAGTTAGGGGTCAAAGTTGTACATGTAAGCAGTGGGGATTTTGACATTCGCTATTCTCCTTAGATAATATATTAAATCATTCACACTGCATTTGTTTTAGTTTTTTTTTTTTTATTTTTTTGACACAGAAGATTTATTTGATATTCCAATTACAGTTATGGTCAAATTAATGGTTACTTATTGTTGTTAGTTGTAGTTGTTCCCCCCCCCCCCTCTTAATGCATTGGCCTTATAATGCTTCCAGAGCGTAGCCCACGTAAAGCGGAGATTAAACAGACCAAAGCTATATATATATTTTTGCTGGGTGAGGGGCTATATAATAGTCTATTCACAGTCAAATAACAATACACGGTAATTGTACATTACAGTTAAATCTTTAGGCTACTGTTCTAAAGTCTAACGGCCGGGACAACAACGCTTGCGTCTTGCTAAAAAAATATGCAGACACAGTGGTCAGTGGTCAGTCTGTCAATGGCCTTCAGCCTTCACGATCAGCTAGCAATGCAAAACAGGGTGCGTTTGGCAGAACTGATTAGGAAGTGGCCAATTAACTTACTTTAGATCTAATTATAGAAGGAAGGAAAGTTTAAAGTATCTACATGTTTTCGTACACGTTGACCAAAGTATGTGTGATCGACTTGGTCTTGATTTTTCACCAGGCGTTTCTCAAAATCTGATAGCTTGAACGTGAAAGCTGAATTTATTCTCTAGATTCTAGTTTTTGTTCCGTTTGAATTATCATAATAATAACAATAATAATAATACTTTTTTTTTTAAACGTTGACTTTTCACATGGGATCAAGGAGTTAGTTCTAATTAGCTCCTTGCATGGGATGCATGTAAAGGAGAAACTTGCACACACAAAACAAAAAAACTCATAAACTTAGCCTTCGTTCATATGACCAGAAACCTAGCAATATAAACATAGCTAGCTATGTCTCTGGTATAGATCTAGACCTAGGCCTTGGAAGGAGTCTAGACCTATACTAGGCCCATGAAAATAATATGCAGAAGAAAAAAAAATCAGTCGCAGACCTTGCCCTGGGGCCAGGACCGACCACCAAGTCTCTGCTTTGGTTAGACCAGTTGTTTCCCCTGATGGCGGGAAACTATTGCGCTTCCCCGCTTTCACTGACCTTTGACGTTTCACCCTTTGTATTTCTTAGCCAATAGCGAAGCCATTTGGTAGGGCGCAGTGTTTAGCTGCTCTGTGCCGTAACTGTGTCGAATGTGTTAACACTAAAAAGGAGCGTCGGCCACCGCCTATTTTGGTAGTTCGGCCAACACACGAAGAGAGTGTGTTGCCACACAAACATGATAAGTGCTCCCACTGATGATACTGAAGAAGGCATGAAGGAGTAAGTTCTTTTTTTGTGTGCCAGTCAACCGTTGTTATTAGAAGATTTAATCTGGCTCTAGAATCTAAATCTAGATTCTAGATCTAGATCTAGAATCTAGATCTAGACAAAATTTATGATATGATATGGTCGCTGCACAATCGATCTCTGCCTCTGGGTTTTCTTTCTTTCCAGTTTCCAAGTCTTGGTCTTGAGTCTTGAGGCGCTGGCAAATAGATTTAGATCTAGATCTAGATTCTAGAATCTAGTTTCATAAGGATTGTTAATGTTATGATTAAAATTGAAGATGGACCACTCTTTGACATTGTGTAAGAACTAGAAGCTTTCTGTATGCCTTGTCTTCTGTCACTTGCCTAGAATCTACAGACCAAGGTTAGACGATGTCTCTCCCAAGTCGGAGACGGGAGGGTTAACTTGGGAATTATCTCACTCTCAACCTCCGTCTTATTGGGTAAACAATAAGACCAACATTAGATCTATAATGACCACCTCAGTGATACCTTGGTTGGATGGACTGTGGAGTACTCATGGACACTGTCCAGTCTGTTATGATTAGAGCCTAATTTGTAAGGTGGAATTGGAAGACAAAAACAAAGTAACAAAGGCTGCACGAAATGAGGGGTAGGCCTTGAGTTAGGCCTCTATTTGATCATGCACACAGGGATTACTAAGGTTAGTTTACCCTTGTTTTGGGCTTGGGTATGAATGATTTATTAGCCCTCCCTCTTTCTATTAAAAAAAATGATTAGGTGGGCAGGGAGGTTGCCGAGAAAATCAGTTTTAGTAGGGGGGGGGGAAGATTGAAGAATACCGGACCACTCGTACATTATTGCGCGAGAAAGTGGGGTGGGTGGAGGGGGGGGGTCTTCCCCCTGACAAAATTTTAATGAATAGATCTACCGGTCCGAGATTCTCCTTTGAGAGATATTAAAAACGGGGAAATTATGAATTCCTAGGGTTGAGACATAGGCAAAGTCAGCCCGCTGGTCCGGTATTCTTCTATCTCCCCAGTAGGGGGTCGGGGGGAAGAATGAGGGCCTACGGCATGGTATTTATTTCCACTTTCACTTTGTTTTATTTTTGGAAGAATACGGGTGGTAAGATTATTTTATATTTTTAAGAAGTAAGATCGATCTAGAGGTCTAGATTCTAGATATATAGCTAGATCTAGATCTATCTGTTGCATGCATACATTCAATAAAATCTTATAACTGCAAAGGCAGTATGTTCACGGCCCCGTGAACGTCGTTGGCAGGTTACATTCACAGTACCCTGAATGCAGTTTGCAGGCGCTGTTGAGGCTACGTTCACGGCACTATTTAGCTTGAGTGTCCACTGCCGGTTTAAGTAAGTAAGCCGGTTCTAGATCTAGTCAGTGACGACAGTATTGAATATTTTGGCCAGCTTCAAGTGTTCCATCCTTTGAGAGGAAGGAAAACGTAGTGCCTTTATAGAATTAAAGTCGATGGGAAAAATTGGATACGAAAATAGGAAACAAGAGTGAGAAATGGGAAACAGAAGGTGGGATTCGGAAGATGGGACTGGTCGTAAAATGTGTACAATGTATTTATGACTGTATTGCATCGGGTCAGCCTGGGAACCGATGCAGAGAGAAAATGACGAAAATGACAGGAATCAATTTTATAACAAACACCCTCTCTCTCTCTTTCTGTCTGTCTCTCTCTCTCCCCTTTCTCTTGCTTTCTCTCTTTCTCTTCCCCCCTC